GGGACCCCAGAGAGCTCCCTTGACCCTTCCACTGAATAAGGACACAGCCAGTGTCAGCTATGAACTAGGAGGCAGGTTCTCACCGGACACTGAATCTACCAGTGCCTTGATCTTGGACTTCCCAATCTCCGGAACTGTGAGAAATCAATGTTTGTGGTTTAAACCACCAAGTCTATGGTATCTTTGTTATAGAAGCTCAAATCGACGAAGACATTTTGTCACCTTGAAGCCTTGTCACTTCCCACCTAAGTTATCTCAACAGCCTTTGGTCAGCTCCCTGCTGTCCACCTGAACCCCTGCCATGCCCCCCCGCCCCCCGCGTCCATCCTGGCAAATCATGACCCACCTCTGCCTGGTGTCTTTGCCGGCTGCTTGTCACCCTAGGGGCCCTGCCGAGGCATGAGGCTCCAGCCACCCCGTGGCCCCAAATCCCCTACTGGCCCCAAGCTCTCCACCTCCAGGCTCTTGCTCAGGTCAGGTCTCACCCCCCGCCCCCCCACTGCATCCCAGCTCTGGCCCTCTTTGGGGCTTGGCTGAAATGCCACCTGGCCCATGGCTCACAGGCTGCACCTCCTAGTTGGGACCCATGCCTCTCTGTACCTGGAGGCTCTATGTCCCTGACTGCTGTCCCGCCAGACCAGTCCACGTAGCACCGTGCAGGGGGAGCTCAAGTCAAGGCTAGCCCTTGTGTCTGGGAGAAGGTGCCACTTCCCCTCTGCCCAGCCCCCCTCCACCAGCCCCTTCCCAGTGCCCTCCTGGGAAAGAGCTGCCGACTGGTCAGTCGCTGGCTGGGCTGAGTGGCAACGTCCAGTTTGGATCTCTGTTGTTCTTGTTCTTGCTGTTTCCTGCTCCTTCAGGGTGCACAGGCCTGGCACATACTGGCAGCCACCTCTCTCCTCTCTCCTTCTGGCTCAGGGACAGCTGGGGGGAGGGCAGACCAGCCCCTGACACAGGTCTGCTCACTGTACCTCTTTCCCCATGATTCATGTTGGCAGAGGTCTCGAGTGGAACTGGGTCCCTTCCTCTGAGGTTCCTTCGATTTCTGACCCGCCAGCCGCCCCTCCCAGAGGCAGACAATTGGCAGGACTTGGGCACATCCAGATCCTAGCTCATCTTGTCAAAAATGGCACCAAACCCGTCTCGGTTCCAATTACCTCTAATATGGAATCCCGACACCGAGTCTACATCTGTAATTGTTACCGGAGGGCTCTCTGTCACTGCCACGCCGGATGGCAATTCTGAGTTCTGAGATGCCCCTCGGTAAATTCAGACAGCCTTAAGCAGCATCTCTGGGCGGGTGGGGCCAGCACCATAGACAAGTCTGGGCTCCATTTTGCTCTTGCTGGTCCCCACTCCTGCTAATGTCTCTTCCCACTCAGCCCTGGCACCTCCCCTCGGCTTTCACAGCTTTCACGGCTTTCACGACTCTTGGGGCCCATTGAGCCAGGGGCCCAAGTGAAGGCCCTGTCTCCTCGCCCTCCCCACCACCTAGACAGCAGGGCCTGAGCTCTTCGGAGAACCCCTGGCACGAGCACGGGGCCCTGCCTCGGAAGGTGTGCAGGCGTGCAGGTGTGCGAGGTGTGCGAGGTGTGCGAGGGAACATGCCCCAGCAAGGATCCCTGCTGAGAATAAAGGAAAAGCAGGGATAAGGCTCCCTCAGAGGGAGTGGGGGTGCCATTGAGGACATGAGAACCTACAGGAAGGCCAATGGCCAGGACTCAGCCAGGACGGTGAGACTCATGAAACCCAAGCAACAGGGCTACCCAGAGCTTTCAGGAACGTCACTGCATGATGGAGGGAAGGGAAGAGGAGGAGGGGGGAATCAAGGCTGGAACCGGGGTCTCTGGCTCTCCAGCACCCCTGGGAAAAGAGGCCCACCTGGCAGGAGCCCTGCCCTACGGTCGTGTTCGGGTTCTGTGCCTGTAGGCGTTGGGGTAGCCAGCGCCAATCCCTGGCAGCTCTGAGCTTTGATGGCTGGATGCATCAGGGTCAGGTGATTTGAGGACATGAGAGTCCCAAGCATGACCCATTTGGGACAGCCTAGCACTGCTTGGGGTAGGCACAAAGATGACCTGGGGCCCAGGGGAGGGTCATCTGCAGAGGCTTGGCCAGTCTGGGGTGGATGGCAACTCCCACACCCCAAGCACCTAATCCGGATCCAGTGGAGAGCTGACCCGGAAGGAACCAGGTCAGGTGAGGTCGTAAGAGTGGGGAATTATATTGATTTAACTATAAAAGAAGCACAGATACAAAGGCTCCTATCAAGCAGCTTGATTCCCACAGAATAGTGGGTGGTCTGCCCGAGCACGTCTTGCTTCTGAAGTCACAGGTGTGGGAGGGGCAGGGGAGGAGAGTACCTTGGGGCAGTGTCCCAAACCTAACTCTGACCTTGGACATGCTGACTGGGTGGCGGACTGTGGGGCCTTTGTGTGGCTGCACCACTTGGGTGTCTTGGGCTGGACAAGCTTTGGGGGACTCTGCCTGTCACCGGGCAGGAAGAAGGAGAGGCTCAGAGAGGCCCAGGAGTATCAATCTCCCTGCTCAGCCTCAGGAGGACAGCAGAGACTCGGGCGGAGTGGGATGGAGGCCAGAGCCTGCTGAGTGGGGAGAGTCTGGTGGACTCTGTGCCTCTGAAAATCTCTTCAGAGAAGAGAGGGGAAGAAATCAAGTCTTGGCTTAGGTATCCAGTGGGGACAGGCAAAGAAGAGTTCTGCGGAGATGCTGGGGTGATGCAGGGTCCCTGCCTAATGAGGGTTGGTCCTGTTTGAGCCCCCCAACCCCCCGTATGTTCTCTACCCAGCTTTGGGCATTGGACTGTGACTGCCCTCCACAACCCAAGCTGATTAATGGGGTGCGCTGGCAGGAAGGGTGGAGAGGACAGGGTTAGGGTATTCTCACCCCTCGCCACAGTCGCAGCTCCCACTGGGGGGACCCCATCTGCACTTCTGCTCTCCCCAGGCTGGACAACATCCTTCCCTGCCCCCCACCCCCAGGGCCCAGTGCCAGTCTCTGGGGCCTCTGTCCCTGTTGTTCCCCTTTACCTGGCCTCCACTGCTCCTGTTAGCTATCCTACCCTCAAACCCTCTCCTCGGGACTACCTGGGGATGAAGGGTGGGGAAGGGTCTATGCTGGGGGTCTAGGGTTCCAAAGGACCAGATGGGAGGTACCATATGGAAGTGGGCATGGAGATCGGCAAACCCCAGCCTCAACTACAGGGGCTGCTGGTCACCTCTCAGGGCCCCCTAACAGGTATCTTGTAAACCATGACCTCTGTGTGGGCAGAACTTCTGATTTTTTCCATCTTTTTTACAAGAGACCCTCAATTTTTAAGTGTTATTCATTTTACAACATTTTAAAAACACCAGAAGCCAAAGACAATTACTGTGAAGAGTTAGACTTGGCTGGAGGGTGGACAGCTGGTGCTCTGGGCTGGAGAAGGTGAGGCTTGGGGCAGGAGCTCCTGCACCCCTCTGCAGGACACAGGTTTGAGTCCTCTGTAGGCCTGAGAAGCTCCCCAGCCAGGGGCTGAGGTTTTGGAGGGGAGAAACCGTTATTTCAGGCAGATTTGAACCTGCCCTGAGCCTGGTCAGTTTGCTGCTCTGTCCTGAGGGTCCAAGGCTGGGCGACGCCACAGAAAATTTAAGAATAATGGTGCCTGTGGGGTGGGAGCTTGGGAAGGAGCAGGGCTGCACCATTCCTGACTGGGGCTTGCAAGCAGGCTGAAAACGGCCCAGACCTCTGCGAGGCCAAGAGCTCACCCTCACACCCAGCCAAGGCCCCTGGGGGTGGATGCAGACAGGTGTGGGGGAGGCCTGCAGGTGGACTCTCTTCCAACCACCTCACCTTGTCACAGCTCACTTGTACCTCCTTCTGCTCGGAGGACCCTTCCCTTCCCAGAGGCCGGCCCTCTGCATCATCCTGATTACAGGTCCCTCCAGGTAAAGCTCCAATCCCAGGCCCTATTGCATTCATTCGGCTGCCCTGGCCCACCTTCCCTTAGTCCTCATCCTCATCCATTCTGGGTAAAACCCTCATATTTAGCAGCGTTGGTCCCTCACGCACTGGTGGCCCCGTAAGCAGGGCTGGTGAGCAGTGAACACCCGGCCCACCTGCTACAGTCCCACTTGCTCATCACCTGCAAGGGATCGCCCCTGCCCCTGTCAGGTGTCATGGCATGCGGACTGGATAGATGCCTCCACGAGGCCCCTCCATAGGTCATCGCCTACCTCCACCGTCTCAGGACCTGGAGAGAGTCCCAAGGCCTGGGGTGGGCCTAGGTCCAGTCTGGCACTCAGTAGGTACTCCCTGCACCTTGGTTGCATTAGGAATTCCGACTGGGCTTGAGGAGGAACTAGCCTCGGGAGCCCAGGGATCTCATGGGGAGAATCAAGGGGGAGGCCGGGGTTGGGGTGTCCAGGGGTTGGGGCCAGGGTCTCAGGGTGGGGGGCGCTGGGGTGTCCAGGGCTGGAGTCAGGGTTTCAGGTCGAATCAGTGAGCGCTGGGGTTCCCAGAAGTGGAGTCGGGGTCTCGGGTCAGAGCAGGGGACGCTAGGGTTCCCAGGGGCGGAGTCAGGGTCTTGGGTCGAGACAGGGGGCCCTGGGGTTCCCAGGAGCGGGGCACCGGGGTCCCCAAGGGTGAAGCCGGGATCCGGGACCCAGAGCGCCCTCCCTCGCACGCCGGGCGCTTCCTCTCCCTCCACGAACGCCCCCTCCGCGAGCCGCGCTCAACCCCGCGTGACCGGAAGTGGCCCCCCGTGGGCGCGGGCGGGGCGGGGCCCGGCGGCGGCACTTCCGGTGCCCACGCGCCGCCGCCGCCGCGCAGCTCCGGGGCCGTCACTTTGTGTAGCGCGGGGCGCGCAGGCCCGGCCCGGCCCCGGCGTCCGGCGGCGGCTCGGCCGGCCCGGCGCGCGCGCGGTGAGTGGGCGGCAGGTGCGGGCGGCCGGGCGCGGGGCCGGGTCGGGCCGTCCCTCCACGCCGGCGCGGGAGGCCGCGGGGAGGCCGCGGGGCCGGTGGGGCCCCGGCCTGGGCCTGGCAGGGCCCGAGTGGCGCGCTGGCCGGGCATTCAGCGGCCGCGCCCACGCCCGGCGCGGCCCGCGGACCCCCGCCCCAGCCCGGGGGGTTGGGGGCGGGCTCCGACCCCCGGGGCGGGCGGAGGCCGGCAGCGCGGGGCAGGCGGGCTGGGGAGGACACGCGCGAGTCCTCGGGAGGTGCCTGCCGCCGGCTAGGCCTGAGGGGCGGGGGTTGGGCCGTGGCCGCCCCCGGGGACACACCCATCCAGGAGGGGCTGTCACCGCCACGGCCTCTGCGGGAGACCCACGCCGATAAGCCCCCTGGAGGGATGGAAGTGGCTTGGCCGGGCGCCCCGTGAGCTTGCTCAGTGACCTTGGGGGCCTCGTCTGGGTCCTCCCTCTCTGCAAATGGAGGCTCCGGTGGGCTGCTGTGCCGACTTCTACTGCTAGTAGTCTGCTAGGGGAACCTCTCCCTAGGGCTGGGCAGGGTCTGGGCTGCCCCATGTGGCCACGGAGGTGGGAAAGGGGCGGGCCTTCGGTGGAGGACTAGGTGGGTAGCGAGAAGGGGAGGTGTGCAGGAGGATCAGGCCCCGCTGCACCTGTATGGTGAGACCTTGGTACTTAGTTTGGTTCAACAAGTGTTGGCAGGTCTGGGGAGCTGGCTAGCATGGTGAGGGGCTGGCCTCGGGGAGCTGGGCGCCCGGATACAGCTACTCCAGGAGCTAAATCCTGGAGGGTAGGGCAGCCCAATCCATGGACACACAGTGAGGATCCTAGTAGTCAAGGAAGGAAGGCTTTTTGGAGGAGACAAAAACCTGGAAGGCCTTGAATAACAGGGGTGTGGGAGGAAACGGGCTTAGATATATGTCTCCTCCTTCTCTATGTAGGTTCCTTGAATTTGGGACTTTTGTGGAGAGTTTCTAACAGTTTCCAAACTTTTTTTGTTCTTTTGGTCCTCCCTTGTCTCCATGGAGGGTGTCTTGTCATCCTCAGCTATGAGCGTCTGCAGTGCTGTATCCTAGGATGCAGGGCCTGGGTGGAAATAAGGGTCTGGGATGAGTCGGGTAGGGGGGCGCTATGTTGTTGAGGCTACTTACATGACCGTCTGTGACTTCTGACCTGGAATCGGGTGCCTGAAAGTGGGCAGAGTGAGTGTCAGTGACTGACAGGCTGGGAAGAGAAGAAAGGAAAGTGTGTGGGTCTGGGGGAGTGAGCCCAGCACCCACACGCCTGGGGAGGCAGAAGGCACCTGGTGCCCAAGTGACTGAAGTCTGTTTTCCAGAATGATTCTGTTCTGGATTCTGGGTTGGGGTATGTGGGGTGTCTGGCTGTGCTAGGCCATGGTTCCATCTGCGGGGTGACTGTTGACCTCCAGGGCTGCTGAGCCCTTCCCTTCTCTGGTCACCAGCAGGTGCACCAGCCTCTTTGAAGGCAGAGACTCTCAGTGCTTCTGGTGTGGGTTCCATTTGGAAGGACCCTGAAGAGTGGTCAGTCTACTCTGGAATGTGGCAGTGGGGCCAGAATACTGAGGTGTTTAGTTTTGTTTTGTTTTAGTGAGTTCTAGGCCCAGTGTGGGGCTTGAAGTCACGCCCTGGAGATCAAGAGTCGCATGCTCTACTGACCGAGCCAGCTAGGAGCCCCTGAGTTTTTAAAATCTCATGTTCATCACATTGATTACAGATTTTAGAGTCACTTCCTTAATAAATATTTGAGTAGCTCTGTGTCTGACATGGGGGGATTCAGGGATGAGCAAAGGGAACTTCTGTCTTCTTGCAGTTGACCGTGTGTTTGGGGAGACAGGCAGTAAGGAGACAATTCCGTAAATATATAAAAGTGAGGTTCTGTGAGGACAGAGTTCGGGGAACTGGGTGAAACGGGGGCCTAGGGGGCTACCTCCAGAGGATCAGTGAAGAAGAAGGGAAGCAAGTTCCAGGGAAAGGGAATAGCATGGGCAAAGTTTCAGAGGTGGGACCAGCATGGGGCCACTTTATTCCAAAGCCCTGGGGTTTTCTTCTGTTGCGAGTGGGTCCTTGGATACGGCAGACCGGCCTGTGGGAGTCTGCTCTGGACGGTGGCCAGGCAGGAGACAGCTCCGCTGGACTTGGTGTGGTGTCTGGGTTCAGCCTGGATTTGTAGCCTGAGGCCTGGGTGAGGAAAGCCCTCCTCTGGATCCTGAGGTGGGTGGCGCTTAGGAAACCTTTGCTGAGCTTTCTAAGTGCCCTCAGTGCTGGGTAGGGCGGCTGCGTCTTCTTGGAGGTGGTTAGAGTAGTGCTTGGCACACGTGTTTCTACACTCCGGCGCTTTCACATGGCCAAAGAGCTACGGAGACTCGAGGATGTTGGTTTTGGGGAGAGGCTGAAGGCTGGGGCGGCCCACCTAGGCATAGCTCTTCACCTGTGACGCTGGGTTCGGTGACTGAATTCGTGATCCAGTCAGCTAGAGGGGGCGTGAGGGGTGGGACAGAGGTGGCTTCTGGGAGCCCGAGCATTTCAGCTCCTGGACCTGGGCCCTGGTCTCTGGGAGGCCTTCGTGGCTGCTCCGAGTTTCCTAGCTATTAATGTGTGGATTGAAAGCAGTAGCTAGGAGCAGTTCAGAGAATGAGTGTGTGCTGCCTGATTAATAAAAAAGCGATGGGTTGGGGAATAAGAGCAGTTGTCTCATAGGTACCCGGTGTTCTGAGCTGTCCTCCTGACCCTGCACGTCTTTACGTGGGGCGTCCCTGTCCTGTTGTTGGGGTTCTGTGGCAGATGCTGTCTACTCGTGGAGCCGGCTGAGCTGGGGTGGACCCAGCTGCCCCATGTGGCCTGACTGCAGGAACCCTCTGGCCTTCATGCCCTCGTCCCAGGATTCGGGGGTTGCTGTGTTTGCAGTGGGCTTGGATCACTTTGGAAAGAGCCCTGTTTAAGTCTTAAGCCCTGATGGGTCCAATGCTGGGTGGCAGGCTCATTCTTAAGCTTTCACTCAAAAAGGAGCCTCAGAAACCGACTTTGTCAAAACTGTGACCCTGTCCTGCCCTTGGGCCTCCAGCGGGCACCTGGGAGGGAGGAGTGGCCCCTGGGCCCGTAGCCTCCTGTCCATCAGGTCTACAGCCCTTGGCTGTGGGCCTTGCGGCAGCTTGGCTATGTCTCTGCCTAGCACCTGGGCTGAGCCAGCTGTGACGGTGGCGTGAGTAGGATTCTCTCCTGGGATTCTCTGATCCTTTAAACTTGTAGAGTTGTCACAGGGCATTTTAGATCATCTTTGCCGGTCCAGCGATGAACCGGATCTCCGTGATCTGTTGAACTTTTTCTAGATGCCCTGGATGGAGTGAGGGGCAAGGGAGATGCAGAGGGTAACACACACTCAGGACCTCTTGTGTGCCGCCTCTGGCAGGAGGGAGCCTGACCTGCTGGCCTTCCCGGCAGTGGTGAATGAGCCCGCCGGTCTCATTGCACCCCTGCTCAGGCCTCTCCTCTCACACCCCTGCCGGCACAGTGTGGGTGCTGAGAGCTGGGTGAGCATTTTCCCCTATATTCCAGGTGAGCCGTTCCTCCCAGGCTGCACTCACCCTTTTCAGCCAAATGTGGGCCACTCTCGGCCGTGTTGCCTGGACTCCCCGCTTCTCATGGCCCCTGAGGATAAAGACCTGGGCTAAATCCCTGATTTACTCCAAGAAAGCACGTTACTTCATATCCAGCACATAATTGCTGGCAAGAAAGAGCTGAGGCCGCATAATGGAGTCACGGAGAGGGGCTCTGTGGTTAGTTTTTCAGGGTACAGAATGTCCCAGTTGTGCCACGTGAGCTCATGGGAAGAGCCCTGGTCCTTCCTCAACTCAGGAGCCATTTCTGTCCAATGGGGGGGATGAGTCCTGCCTCCCGCGGGGCGGCGTGAGGCCCGTGTGAGGCCCGAGCAAGGCGCGTGAGCGTGCTGTGGGCGCTCGTCACCGCCGCCCGTCTGTGTTTCAGGCCGCGCCGAGGCTCTCCTCCGGGGAAGATGGCAGCCCTGCGAACCACTCCAGGCTCACCAGCCACGCAGCTGGCGAAGGTGGAGGATGGGTTGGAATGTGGTCCTGCTCAGGAGGAAGAAGAGGAAGAAGACCAGGGGGAAGAGGTGGAGATAGAGGAGGAGGAAGAGATAGTAGTGGAAGAAGGCGAGGACAAGCAGGTGGCGGAGGACGAGGAGGAAGGGGGGCGGGCAGGGCACGTGGATCAGGTGGAGGTGGAGTTGGAGGAGGACGAGGACGTGGAGGAGGTGACGGCAGAGGAGCAGAGTCTGACCTTGGGGACCCAGGAGCGCTGTAGCCGTGCTGCTGATGCCAAGTCCCCAGTTCTCCAGGGAAAGGGTAAGAGAAAGGAACCGGCTCCCGGGGTAGGAGGCAGTGGGGGCCTGGGAGGGCAGGCCAGGACAGGGTGGAGCTGGAGCATCAGGACCCAGGTTTTGAAATGGAGGAGCCTGGAACTCCTGCCCCTGCTTGCTCTCCGGGAAAGGTGACTGCGGCAGCAAGGCCCGACGGGGAAGGCGGGCCCCTAACAGGTCTTCCCCTCAGCCTTGCAGGCCGCCCAGGTTCCAGCCACGCCTAGGGATGAGGACCTGGAGGAGGAGGAAGAGGAGGAGGAGGAGGAGGAGGAAGAAGAGGAGGAAGAAGAGGAGGAAGATGATGATGATTCCCTGACAGCTGGATCTCAGGTGAGCTGCTGTCTCTCTGGAGCTCAGTTAACCAGGCACCTGCTGTCCTGGAGACCCCTGTGGGCAAAGCAGAGGCTCTGTGGTCCTCAGGGCGAGTTCAGGCTGTGAGCGGGGACGGGCAGCAAGAAGTGACTGGGGGTCTCTAGCCCCAAGCCCACGGGACGTGGTTCCACTTTCCCGGGGCCCAACCCTTCCGAGGCCATCATGTCCTGAGGATATTGACTGCCCCTCACGTGGTTGCACTGCGGCCCCTTACCTGGAGGGCCTGTCACCTGTCCAGGCTCGGGTTTCCTGCCGAGCCCAGTCAGATCGGGCACCAGTGCCCACAGTCGGTTGAGTTGATGCCGCTTATGCACCCAGGCATGGGCCCTCACGTTGCTGATGTGACCACTGGCGTAAGGTGGACAATGAGGGGGGAGGACATAGCCTCCCCGCACAGCCATGGACTTGAGCTTTCTCATCTCCTGACCTCAGTGTGAGTTGTGGCTCTGCCCCCCCCCGCCCCATGCTGAGCGTTCGCCCTCTCTGAGCCTGGGTTCCTAATCTCTGAACGGAAATGGGGTCTTTGGCTTTCAAGGCCCACCACCAGGCTTGCACACCTTGAGTACTGCTGGGCCTTTGCAGGCCTGTCAGTGACGGGATGTCGGGCTGTGGCCCCGTGAGCTCCGTGTTGCAGGACCACGGTCAGCTCTTCTTGACGAGCTTTTTCTGTTGCTCGCGTTCTAGGGGCTCCCCCGCCTCTCTCCGAAGGCAGCTTAGGGCAGAGGCCAGGGCTCTGTTTTCCAGGGGCTGGTGACCTTTGAAGATGTGGCTGTGTACTTCTCATTGGAGGAATGGGAAAGGCTGGACGCAGACCAGCGGGACCTTTACAAGGACGTCATGCAGGAAAACTATGGGATCCTGGTGTCCTTGGGTAAGCAGGGAGGCTTTGTGGTCTGAAGGCTGCCAGCAGCCTAGCCGTTTGAAAGAGTGGCTTCTGAAGCCCCAGGGTCTAAGAGAGGGGCGTCCTGGAGCCAGCCCACCTCTTGGGGGAGTCCTAGGGACCGGGGTCTCCGCTGTGGCCCAGCAGTGCCATGAGCCAGGTGGATGTGCTCTGGGAGCCGCCCGTCCAGCTCCGGTCCCTGGGCCGTCTGCCCCCTGAGGCCTCCGGGGCTGAGGAGTCAGGGGCTAGAGGGGCTGAAGGTGTGTGGAGGGGCTGAGCAGGACAGCTGCAGCTCTCAGGGCAAAACTCTAGACTTGTGAATGTGGGATTTCCCAGGGCGGAGGCCGGGAGATGGGAGGGCTGGTCCGGGAAGGGAGAGTGAGGAGCCGGTTGGCATGTCGGGGATGGCACTGTGTGCGGTGAGGGCGGGGCCTGGCCAGCACAGCCCTGCAGCTGCTGGCTGTTTCTCTCCTGGCCAGGCTACCCAATCCCCAAGCCGGATCTGATCTTCCGGCTGGAGCAAGGGGAGGAGCCCTGGGTCCCAGATAGCCCCCGTCCTGACGAAGGAGACATTGTCACTGGCGTCTACACAGGTGAGTAGGAGATGGAATCTTGTGGGGTTTCTGCTGACGCGGCTCCTCAGGGCTTTGCCAGACTTTGGCCTTGACCTTAGCTCTGTGCCGTGGCCTTGATGCTGGTGGTCTGGGATGTGGAGTGGGCCGCTTGGATAGGGAGGCCACCACGCGCTAACCTCTGCCTTTGTGCGTTGGCCTCTCCAGGCTGGCGAATCCTTAGAGAACCTACGCGTTCCTCTTAGGAGCCTTGGAAAATGTCCCTGTCCCTGCCTTGGAGCCTCTGATTGTTTTTGTTTTTTCTAAGTGAGGGCCATTTGTTAAGTGTTTGGCTCAGAGAAATAAGTGCAGGAACTGGGCAGACTCTGGCTGAGAGTGCCGGAACCCGCCTTTCTGGTTTCCACACTTGAACCGGTCCTGTGGCTTCTCCACCCATTGGGCTATCTCTGAACAAAGGGTCTGGGGGGCAGGCCTCTGGCCTGGGTGCGCAGCTCTACCCCTTCCAGAAAGGAGATTTGGGAGCGAAGTGTTCAGGGTGGCGAATTTCTCTGGACACTGCTGATGTGGTTCTGTTTCCCCAACTGTCTGAGCTTCGCTTTGCTCACGTGGAGAACAAATAATTTGACCTACATCCATAATTTCCAAGCCGAGGACGTGGGACTGTTGGTTCTGTGGAGGTGCTTCACGAGGTCTGAGAGTCAGGCTCAGTGTTTGAGAGAGATCCGTGGAGGGTGTGTCCGCCTTTGGGCTCAAGTGACGTCCCCCCAGTGAGGGCCACTGGATGGCTCGTGCCAATCAGGTGCCTGGATAGACTCAGAGCAGCTCATAGACATATTTCAAAATAAAAATACAGAAAAACACAGACCGTGTTACTGCGCCTACGGGTGGTCTCTTCAAAGTGTTTTCCCGTTTACTCTGTATTCTCTCGACAAGCCTGGGCCATAGCAGGGCAGAGGCGACCAGTCGACCTTGCATATGAGGACTTTGACTTTGAAAGTGGTGACGCCGTGGCTTGTCCAAGGTGGGCTCAGCCGCAGGGCTCACTTGCCACGGTGTTGCAGGATGGCCTTCCCGTCCCGGCTCTCCACGTGCTGTGGGGCCCTTTCTGGGAATCCTTCCTGGGCTTCATTCAGACTTGGGTGGGCGCTGACTGGTGAGACCATCGCAGCTGCTTCCGGGACGAGTCTGGGACAGATGTTTCTCGGAGGGGGGTCTCAGTGAGAGGTGGGCCCTGTTTACGGGCACAGCTCAGAAAAGCCACCTGCAGATAAAGGGGCCACAGGCCTGCCTTGGCCAGTCTCTCATCATGTGGGCTAGATGTACCCCCATTCTCCATGCTTCTTGGAGGGTCCTGGGGTACAGCCTTTTGCAGGCTCCAGTGTGGGTGGTCCTGGGTGGAGTTCGGCAGCACCCTGAGGAGGCTGGCTAGCAGGGCTGGCGGCTGGTCGCTGTAGCAGGGCCGGTGAGCCTCGACTGCTCCCCCCATCCCCGCCCGTGCCACCTGGTGAGCCCGAGGTTGATACAGGATCCAGGCATGGTCTTAGACATGACCCTGTCTGCTGGGGTCAGCTCTGGTAGGGCAAACCCATCTAAGGCCTTTCTTTCTTTCTTTTAATTTTTATTTATCTGAGAGAGAGTGTGTGTGTGCATGTGCTCGTGCGAGAGCAGGGTGAGGGGCAGAGGGAGAGAGAGAGAAAGAATCCTCAAGCCAACTCCCCTGCCCAACTCGGGGCTTGATCCCGGGACCCTGAGACCATGACCTGAGCTGAAATCAAGGGTGGGCCGCTTAACCGATTGAGCCCCCCAGGTGCCCCATCCAAGGCCTTTCTTAACTATGATTGTAGTCTCTTTGCTAAATGGTCTCCCTCCCCTCTTCTCCCCGTACTCATTTCTGTGTGGCTGAGTCCATCGAGAATTGAGAATTGCTGGGTCTGGCAGGACGGATGCTAACTGTTGTGAGCCTGACAGTTTCTGGATTTCTAGATTGTAGTCTGGCAAAACACAAGTGTCTTCCTCTCTTGTGTTTCTTGAAGAATTGGGCCAAAAGGTTTGGACTGTGGCCGGCTTCTTCCACTCAGGCGCCCCATCCCGTCTGCTGTACTGACCTGAAGTCCCCTGCTCTGCCCTTCCAGCTCCGTGCTCCGGCCCCCTGACCCATATCCGCCCCCCCCACCCCAGCTCACTGCTGCTCGCTCTCCTCACCTCTCCTGACCCCACCCGCTTTCCTGCGCCTTTCTCCTCACCCGGCTTGGAGAGCAGTGCCTCACCCCCCACCCGCTGTATGTGATAGCCCCGTGGAGTTGCCTGCCAGACCCCTGCCCATGCAGGACCCCATTTCCTGCCCACATCTGCACTGCAGCTGGGTCGTGGCTGGAGAAAAGTGTGCCTGCCAGCCGACCACACATCTCCTGAGGACACCGCCACCACCTGGGCCCGGTGGTCTGGCTTCGTGTCCTTGTTGGGTTGGCTTTCCGCTCTCTGCGGGCGACCGTCTTGGCCCTGAGGACCCCACACACCCCTGGTTTCTCAGCTGCCTTCCCGGCTGCTTCTCCACTTGCCCTCGCTTGTTCCCAAGACCAGGACAGTCCTGCGTCCTCTTCTGTTCTCTCTAGGTGACTGCGGCCAGAGCTTACGTCGATGCTGCCCATCCGCAGCTTCTTTCTCCAGCTCTCTTCCTGTCTGCTTGTCCACCCGTATGCTTGGTCTCTCCACTCACTTACCTGATGGGCATTTCAGAGTGAACCTGCACCTGAAGGGGCTTCTCCTACTCCAGTCCCCTCTTGCAGTGTCCTTGGCACCTGAGTGGGCCTGGCTGCGTGCCTGATTAGTCCTTGTCGCTCTGCCTTCCTCGCCCCACCCTGTCCCAGGCTCCCAGGAGGCCGGCGGGCCTGTGGCCACAGGTGTCCCCGAGCTGCCTCTGCCTGCCCTCCAGTAGCTTCCCCGTGCACTTGGCGCGGCGTCTGGGCCCCGCTGTGGCTTGAGACTGCCGCCCCTCCAAACTCATCTCCTACACCCTTAGCTCTCAGGCTCGGCCCCTCAGACCACCTTAGTCTTCAAGCTCTCGCCTGCCTCAGGGCCTTTGTGCCTACTGTTTCCCCTGCCGGGCTTGCCTTTTGTGTGGCTGGCTCGGCTCTCAGGCCCCACTTGAGTCACGTGTTCTCTGAGCACGCAGACTTCAGGAGCACGCCTTCCTGCATTTCTCCAGGATGTTCCCTGCAGTTACAGCAAACAGCGCTGTCTGAAACGGTCCTGCCTAGATGTTTGCTTCCTCATTCCCCGTCTGCTGCCTCCGGCCGCCTCCGTAAGAGCGAGCACTGTGTGCTGTCTTCCCCTGTGCTGTCTCCCTGGCACCCTGCGCGGGCCTGGCACCCAGCGGGGCCGGCTGCTGATCCCCCTCCTTGGCTGCACTCCTGCCCCTCATGTGAAAGTGAAGGACGGAAGAGAATTACAGCATGCAGGGTCACACCTGCTTAAGATGCCCCAGGAAAGGAGAGAGAGAATTTCAGAGCAGTAAGAGGTAAAACACTAAGGTGGGGGCATCTCAGGGTCAGTGAGCACAGTCAGTGGTTCTGGAGGGGAGGAGGTCAGGAGCAGCCGTGGAAGGTAGGCCTGGGACCAGCCTGCAGGTGGTCTTTACCTCACACAGCCCATGAGCGCCTGGGCGGAGTGCCTGGGCTGGGCCTGTCTGCCCCACCGGGGTCGGGTGGATATTAGTCCTTAGCGTGGGCCTTCCCTGCCTTTGGCACACCCCTGAGGGGGCCCTGGGTGTCCCCGAATCCCCTTTTTTTGTCTGAGCCAGGGAGAAGGCACTTGGGTCCTGTCTTGCCTCAGAGCCCTGGGCGCGTGGTGTAGGCAGAAGGGGAAGGAGCCAGGAAACATTCCACCTGAGGAAGGCTCCTATTAATAGCTGGTCCTTGGTATTATATTCATGGTACAGATGAGGAGACTGAGGCCATAGAGATCACCTGCCAGTGATGGGGGGTGGGCCCTGTGCTCATGGGAGGACAGAGCCCAGTACAGGAACCTGGCCTTGTCGTGAGCTGCCGTCTCCCCCACACTTGAGTACAGCCCTGGTTACCAAACTCCTGCTCAGTGGGAAGGAAGGGCAGCTGACCAGCAGTCCTGGAGGCAGGAGCCCACCTGCAGCTTGGGCCCACCAACCCTGTTCATGTCCTCCCCTTCTAACTGTTCCTTGGTGGGGGGGCTCTCCTCAAACGTACCTCGAGTCTCCGGGTCTGGATGGAGAAGTCAGGAGCAGGTGTTGACTTTACTCTCGGGCCCCAGCAGAGATGGGTTTAGTCAGAGCCGACTCATCATGGGACCAGGTCAGGGTGGGTTCCCGGACCGGGCAGAGGTTGCCCCGGGGGCGGGAGTCGTAGAAAACGGCCTGGTTCTCAGGGCGTTGTGTGTCCGTCGTGCTGAGCAGCCCTCGCTGGGCCTCGCAGCAGCTCGGGGACAGAGGTGCACCAGGCGTGTGGCTCGGGGGCTTTCATCTTCTCCGAGGCCCTGTGATGAGTGCCTTGGTAGGGCACTTAACTGACGAGGGGGCTCTCCTGACAGGGCCACGGGTCAGCCCCTGGGATTGTCATCGGGGCTCAGAGCACTGGTTCCAGCTTAGCTAATCATCACCCAGGGTCATAGTCCTTGGGAGCAAATGTCGCAAGGAGATGAAGCAGCAGCTCCCACTTCCCAGGGTCCTCTTCTCTGCCCTACCCCTGTGGGTTCTGGAAGAAGCAACTGTGTTTGACCCTATAGGCCCCTGATACAGAATGTCCCCTCACCCACCTTGTAAAAGCATTCTCTGCTCTGGCTCTCGTCTCACAAGGAGACCTGGTAAGTGCTCACTTGGATTCCAGCAAACTCCCTGGGAACCTGGAGTGACCTTTCCATTGGCCGCCCCCACTCCAGGGCCCCACCTCCAGACTCTGGCCCACTTTGGTGACAGAAAGACAAGGGAACAGAACCCAGCCTCAGGGCAGGCTGGTCTTCCTCTGCATCGCCCTCCAGTGGCCCTGCTCCTCCCGGCGATCTTGGGGTGCAGCCGGCTCTGACTGCCAGGGACATGGCCGCCCTTACTGCCCCTCGTTTGGTGTCCGTGGTGCTGTCCACCACCTTGCCGTGTGTTCAGTGGTTTCTCGTTCCTGGACAAGAGGCTGTGCCGGCTCTGGAGGTCCCTCCTGTATCGCTCTCCTCTGCAGAGGCTTGAGGTGGGGGCCGGGCAAGGGCTCCCCTTCCCTGGTGTGCGTGGGGGCTTTCCGCTGCTCCTAGACCCCAAGGAAGAGATGTTGTGAGTCACTGGGACCTGGCCCACCCTTCCCAGTTCTGAGTGGCCAAGGTAATTTGGCCTGCGTGTCGGCTTTGTATCCAGCAGGGGCTGACCCTGGGCTAGGTCCTGGGGTGCACACTAGCGCCCCTAAGACGTTGAACGTGTTCCTGTGCTTCAGTTCCCCCGGCCTTGGGGAGTCTCTAATTCAAACTACTCAAGACCCTCCCCAGAGTCTTGTGGTAAAATTCTTTTTGAGACTCATGGCAAGAACTCCCAGCCGATCTGAGTACCCACGGAACTGCCTGTCCCTCCACCATCCCCTGCTGTCTCATGAGGGTGCTCTGGCCTTCCCAGTGAGGAGCTGTGCCTTCTCTGTGCTCTGCAAGGGGCGGACGCCTCACGCCACCCACTCGTGGCCCCAGGTGGCGGCTGCACGTAAACTGAGCTTAGTTCAGGAAACTTTGGTCTCCTATTTTAAAACTTATTTTTACTTTAACAGTATAGTAGTACTAACTGTAGAAAACTTGAAAGTATTACAATTCTGAAAAAAATAAAATAACCCATTTCTGTACGCCTTTAAATGATGCGTGTTTTTGTTCACAGCTGAAATCATGCCCGAACAGTTCTGTGTCTGGCTGTATCTGTCCCTGCGCTTTGCTGTGTTCTCCCACGTGACCATATCACCCTACATGTAGAGTGCTGTACAGAATATAGGACGAGGGCTGAGCCAGGGTGGGCAGCCCTCCTGGGCCCCCACCTTCCCTCAGGGGCAGGACTCGGTGATCCACACTCATCCAGCCAGGTGATGCCTGACACTGGCCACAGTTTTGGTGGTGGACCCAGGTGGGGTAGAGGAGGGGATTCCCACCCTCTAGAACCTTCCAGATGCTAGGATTCTGGGGAGGGCGACAGCATGGTGTGCGACCACTGTGGCCCGACCCGGGGTGGAGTGTACATGAGAAAGTAGGCACACAGGTGCTTTGCAACATCTGGGGCCACCGTGGGTCAGGCGTTTTGCCTTCTGTTCCTTGTGTGACTTAGTGCCTGCTCCGCAAATGGTAGTTCTCTCCTGAGAATGGTGGCAGGCCAATCAGCACTCCATTTTGTAAACTAGAAAACCCTCCAGGTCTGACTCCGTACCCACGCTCTGCACTGAAGGGAGAGGTCACTTTGGTGGAGGAGGTAGAGAACTGCAGGACCTTTTGGGGGGGTGTCCTTGGCCTTCTGTGATAGTAGGGTGCTTGCAGTTCACCCAGTCTTAGCCAGCTTGGGACTGTTTCCCAAATGCACAGCCACTCAGAAAAAGCCAAGCTTTGGGGTGCCTTAGCAGGGAAGCTTGGGCTGTGCCTGAATCGTTGCTGGAGGCTGTTAGGATGAGTGCAGAGGGCTGGGGCCCAATGGCCCCTCTAGGTCTCCTTGGCTCAAGGCAGCCTTTTCAGGTTCTGCTCTGAGAGTGGGAAGGAGACCCACCACTGCTGGCCAGCCTGAGGCTGGTGGAGAAGAACTCAGAGGGGAAGGGATGCTGAGCAGAACTTAGGTGCTTACAAGGCAGGTCCTCAGCTGCAGGGCCCTGGGGCTGTGCTGGTGCTGGAGGCTTGCTTGCCTTGGGCCAAGCAGGGGTGGGTGGGGGTGCGTGGGGGGTGGAGTTCTCTGGAAGACAAGGGGTTTTGGGGAGAACAGCTCAGGGGTCTCTGTTTTTCTGAGTACCAGATGCCTGTTACGGGCTTAGCCCCTGGTCTCCCAGGAACCTACAGGCAAGGTCACCAACTTTGTAGAGCGTTCCTGTTTCTCAGGGTGGCAAGCACTGGAGATCTGGAAGAGGGATTAATTAGTTGAAGCCATTTGAGGACAGTCCAAGAAGTAAAGGAATCTGGGCCTCCCCTAGGAGGGACACCCATGCGCACATTTCTCCCATCTGCAGAGTTCCTCCTGAGGGAGGCCGTGGCTTTACTGCCCCACGTGCGCTACAACGCGCACAGCCTCTCCCTTCGTGGAATGCAGAGGCACCCTGTCCAGAGCCTGCGGATGGAGGCTCGGTGCCGGGGGAGCTTGGGGTCCCGCGCAAGCTGTGATTTCTCTAGGGAGGAGCCAGCAAGGGGCTGCCTCGACCTCCTCTCACCTCTCTCCTGGCCTTCCTTTGTCGCCTTCAGGGGCCTGGTTCTGGACGGACGACCTAGACGACCACGAGGAGGAGGACGACGAGGACTTCCTGGCGGAGGTGGCCGAGGAAGAGAACGAGCCCCCGGGGCTCTGGTCAGCGGCCTACGGCGTGGGGGACGTTCCTGGGACCTGGGGCCCCGATGACTCGGATTCAGCGCAGACCCCGGAGGGGTGGGGTCCCGACCCCGGAAGCCTCGGGGTCCTGGCCGAGGGGTCCGAGGCAAAGCCCTTCCTGCCGGGCCGGGAGCCTGGCGCGAACCTGCTGGCGCCCTGGGCGTTCCCTGCCACTGTGGCTGCTCCGGCCGGGCGGCCCGAGACCACGTGCGACGTGTGCGGAAAAGTGTTCCCGCACCGGTCCCGGCTGGCCAAGCACCAGCGCTACCACGCGGCCGTCAAGCCCTTCGGCTGCGACGAGTGCGGCAAGGGCTTCGTGTACCGCTCACACCTGGCCATCCACCAGCGCACGCACACCGGAGAGAAGCCCTTCCCGTGCCCGGACTGCGGCAAGCGCTTCGTCTACAAGTCGCACCTGGTCACGCACCGGCGCATCCACACGGGCGAGCGGCCCTACCGCTGCGCCTTCTGCGGGGCGGGCTTCGGGCGCCGCTCCTACCTGGTCACGCACCAGCGCACGCACACGGGCGAGCGGCCCTACCCGTGCCCGCACTGCGGCCGCAGCTTCAGCCAGAGCTCGGCGCTCGCGCGGCACCAGGCGGTGCACACGGCCGACCGGCCGCACTGCTGCCCCGACTGCGGCCAGGCCTTCCGCCTGCGCGCCGACTTCCAGCGCCACCGGCGCGGCGGCGGGTGCGCGGAGCCCGGCGGCGACGGCCCTCGGCGGGAGCCCTGCGACACGGGGCCCGCGGCGGGGCCCGAGGAGGCCGAGGTCGGGCCGGAGGGGCCCGAGGAGGCCGGGGCCGGCGAGGCGGACGTAGAGGCCGAGGCCGAGGCCGAGGCGAGAGAGGAGGCGGCGGCGGCGGTGGGGCCCAGCCCCGGGCGCAAGGAGGACCCCGAGCCGGACAGGCGGTTCCTCGAGCTGGGCAACGGCCTGGGGGAGGGCGAAGGCCCTTCCTCGCACCCACTCGGCTTCCACTTTCCCGTGCACCCCAAGTCCTGGCTCCACCCGGACGGCTTCCCGATCCTGGGCCTCCCGGACTTCGGGGAGCGGCTGCAGGCCGACGGGCGCCCCCTGCCGGGGCCCCTGGGGGGCCGGCTCGCCCTTGTGGAGGGCGCCGGGCTCGCCTGCGACCCTTTCGGCAGCGGCGGGCCGGGGGGCGGGGGCGGCGGCGGGCTGCGCGCGTTCGCGCCGGCCGTCGGGGGTCTGCTCGCCGAGCCGGCGCCCGCCGCGCTGGCAGAGGAGGAGAGCCCGTGGATCTGCTCCGACTGCGGCAAGACGTTCGGGCGCCGCGCGGCGCTGGCCAAGCACCAGCGCTACCACGCGGGCGAGCGGCCGCACCGCTGCGCGGACTGCGGCAAGAGCTTCGTGTACGGCTCGCACCTGGCGCGCCACCGCCGCACGCACACGGGCGAGCGGCCCTTCCCGTGCCCCGAGTGCGGCGCGCGCTTCGCCCGCGGCTCGCACCTGGCGGCGCACGTGCGGGGCCACACGGGCGAGAAGCCCTTCGTGTGCGGCGTGTGCGGCGCGGGCTTCAGCCGGCGCGCGCACCTGACGGCGCACGGGCGCGCGCACACGGGCGAGCGGCCCTACGCGTGCGGCGAGTGCGGCCGCCGCTTCGGGCAGAGCGCGGCGCTGACGCGGCACCAGTGGGCGCACGCCGAGGAGAAGCCGCACCGCTGCCCCGACTGCGGCAAGGGCTTCGGCCACAGCTCGGACTTCAAGCGGCACCGGCGCACGCACACGGGCGAGAAGCCCTTCCGCTGCACGGACTGCGGCCGCGGCTTCGCGCAGCGCTCCAACCTGGCCAAGCACCGGCGCGGCCACACCGGCGAGCGGCCCTTCCCGTGCCCCGAGTGCGGCAAGCGCTTCTCGCAGCGCTCCGTGCTCGTGACGCACCAGCGCACGCACACGGGCGAGCGGCCCTACGCCTGCGCCAACTGCGGCCGCCGCTTCTCGCAGAGCTCGCACCTGCTCACCCACATGAAGACGCACCGCAGCGCGGCCGGCGCGCCCGGCTCGGCCGCAGCGGCCCCCGCGTCCAAGGCCGAGGCTCCCGCCAAGGGGCCGCCGGGCGCGGGCAGCGGGCCCGGGGAGCGCGGCAGCACCCTGCTCGAGTTCGCGGGCGGAACGAGCTTCGGCTCTGAGCCGACGGCCACCTTGGCGGGGCCCTCGGGCGCCTACGAGGAGAGCGTCCTGTGATGGCCCGAGGCCGACGGAGGCGCAGCCCGCTGGGCCGCCGGCCCCTTGCTCCTCTGGCCTCGGGGTGCTGAGGGCCCCAGTCCTGGTGCGGTGCCTTCCCCTCAGCCCCCGGTGCACCGCGCCGCCCCCCGGCCTCGGGCGCCCCTCCTGCCGGCCCTGGGAAACCGGGTCGCCAAGCTCGTCCGGCCGTGCAGGGGGCGCGTGGGGAGAGGAGAGCCGCGCGCGGAGGAGGCGAGGGCAGGGGGCGGCCACCCGGACCAAGACTGCGGCATCCCCGGGTCTGTGCTGTGGAGCCACGCGGTAGGGATGGCAGGCGATCTTATTTATTTCACTCGGGTTCCGATTTGGGTGGCCTGGAGGACCGGTGGCCGATGAGTTTGTAAGTGGGTTGTACAGCGAGGGAGGGGAAGCCCTTGCGTCAAGGGGAGGGTGGGGTGGTCGAGGGCGGAGCGTCCGGCTCCTCCCGTGGGTTTGGCTGACGACTTCTTCCCATTCCTCAGTGAGACTTCAGGGACCTTCTGGTCATTTGAGTGTGTCCGGGAAGTTTTAAGGACTGCGCGGGGCTAGGGGAAGCCTTATGGGTTTCCGGAGGACTGTGTTCCTCCCTGCACGGGGGGGACAGAGATGCAACTGGGAAAGCTTTTATTCTGTCTACTGTGGATATTTATTTCCATCTCTTGTATGGCCTGAAGAATCTGGGAGGAGGAGGAAAAGCCAGAAACCAAATTTGTGGCCCCAGGCGGGTGGGTTGCAGGTGTTCCAGGGTCCTGAGGGAGTTTGAAGCCTTATTCTGGGGGAGGGTCACTCGCTCTCACCCCACTTGAGCACCTAGATCAGCCAGGCACAATTCTGCCCGGTGGGTTTTGGTCTCCGCCTCCCCCTTTGAGTCCTTTGGTACTCTCACCTCTGGCAGCTGGAGGGGGCACACTCAGAGATCCTCAGGGGCCCCTTGCTGGCTGCTGCGGCCATGGCCCCAGCCTTCAACTGCCTGGGCCCCCACCCCCCCACCCCCGGGCAGGTGGACACATGGGTCCCTGCTCTCTAAGCCCAGTGCTTGTTTAAATTTAATAACCAATTGTAAGGTGACAGGTCGGCAGCAGGATCATTTCTCACATCCCTATGGGGTTAGGGCCCTGTGACGTCTGCAGGTCCTTTTAATGCTGCTTCTGTCATTATTCTATACTAGAAGCAGGTAGTGTTTCTGTTTAGAATCCCATGTCACAGGGTGGGCAGTCTGTACAGTGGAAGTCCACCTCTGGGGGTGTGGACTTGAGCCTGTGGCTCAGTGACAAGCCAGGCACCCAGCTATGCAAGGCCCGCGCCTGGTGGGCACGCCGCCCTCCGGGTTGGGCCATTGGGAGCCACGGGGCAGGCAGCTGAAGTATGGCTCACGTGAGATCCTTTCCTCCCTTAATGCCTTTTGGGCCAGTGTGAGTGGGGCCAGAAAACAGATTTTGAAGCAACTGCATTCCCTTTTAGACCTAGTTCCTTCTGTTTTAGTGTAGACATGGCCTTGGGGCCGGAGAGCCAGCAGCCAGGCTGCTGAGGCTGGGGGCGGGGTAGGAGGCGCAGTAGTTGGTGGGTGGGAAAGCGGGTGTGGATGGTGGTGTTAAGAATTCACCTGGCTGGGTGAGGTGGTGGGGTGGGTCGGGGTGCTGAGGAGGGCAGGGGTCCCAGGAGGCATCAGCAATGCTGGGTGATGCCTTCCCTGTCCTCAGTTTCTTTCCTCTCCCTGTGGGACAGGAACCTCAGGGGCCAAGGGCAAGGCAGCGTAGCCCTGCATGGCTGGGGTTTGGCTCCGTGCTCATTCTCCTTGCACACCCCTCAGAGTGCATATCTTTGGTGCCCCCCTGGGCCCCAGCTGCTTCCGCCCTGGCCTGGAGCCATCAGCAGGAGGACCTAGCTTTAATAAAGAGTGGAGAAATGAGCTTTCTGACTGGATTCCATGTTGTTGCCGCTCCTCGATGCCCTCAGGGAGGCTCTGAAAGGTCTCGGGCCTTTTTTCTGCAAAAAAAAAAAAAAAAAAAAAACCCACAAAAAACTTTTTTTAGGAGTTTCTCCTTTCAGAAACTAGAAATGGCTCGGGAGGAGTCAGCCCAAGATGGGCTTTGGCTCCTGCCTCCTGTGTCTACCAAGTCTTTCTGGGAGTCCCCAGCGGGCCCCCCACACTGCCACATACTCTTTGTAATACACCTATCTTGGGATCTTATTGTGCTTAGGATTGTTTTCTCCAGCCTTCCCTTGGTCAAAGGAGAGGGGCCAGGTCCCCTTCCTGGGGGTCCAGACATTCACTGAGTCCCAGACATTTCCTCAGAGGCCTCAGCGCTTCGTGGGTTTATCCAGGCTCATCTGCTCTGTGCCAAGGCAAAGGACACCTCCCCAGGACCCCCAAACTCCTTCCTTTGTAATGATTTATTGACTACCTTCTCACCAGATGATGCCCCATAACCATATCTGACCTCCCATTCTTTGCGCGTGGATTTGGAAAAATATGAACTATGAAGTAAATTGTCTTCGAGATGTGATTTGGAGGCATCAGAACAGAACCCAGTGTTTCAGTTTAAAAAAAAAAAAAAAGGCTTTGAGTGGCAGATGGATGTCAAGACCTAGTTAAAAATTGATGGCCTTGAGGATCTTAAAGCCTATTCAGAAAAGGCCAATTATTCCCGGATAGAGCTTACAGATGTCTGGCCAAATTCTTTTTTATTTGGGGGAGGGTGGGGGACCCAATCCTGATGGTCATAGAAAAAAGAAAGTAGACAGCCCTTCTGGTTTTGAGAGGACTTCCAAATTTCTGGAGTCCCTGACTGATTCCCCAAGTGTCAATTTAGCATCTTCTATCATTGCCAAGGAGTAGAAGCCCCCAGGAGATGTGACCCACGCAAGGTGGTACTTTGAGAGTCTTGAGGCTCTGAGCACCCCTCTGGCTTCCCCCTGCCTTTGTTATTTTCCTGTTTCCCTCTTGCTTGCATTTTCCCCAACCTCCTTCCTTGCTCCTGACCCTTTTACTTGATCTCTTCAGACATCTTCTAACTATTTTTTCTTTCTCTAATTGGCTACATATGGAATAAAGTATTTTGAAATTTTTGGTTATATTTATTAAATAAAGCTTTATGATCCTTGTTCATTATTTAATTTTTTTCTGATTATAAAATACATACTAGTTGTAAAAATCCCAACAGTATGACAAAATGTGTTACGTGCACACTTACATCCTACAGGGTCACACCACATCCAGCCACCGGGAACCAGAGCAGCTTCAGGAGGCGTGGGGTCCCATTTCTTCCATGGAACAGAAATGTTTCTCCACTGGTGACATACTTTACACGTTCCCTTGCAACTTGCTTTTTTCATTTAACAACATATTAGGACATACTTTCCCACCGGACAGAACTACCTCACTCATTTTAACTGCCCCAGCATAGCATTTCATTTTGTGGACGTACCCATAATTGATGTAACCTCTCCTGCAACAATGGGTATTTGGTTGTTCCCAGTGTCTCACAATTACGAACAATGCTGCAATGTCGATTCTTGTACATATTTCTGTGCAGCTATGTAGATTTTTAGTTATTTGTTTAGAAAAAGAACTAGAGGTGATGTTGCCAGGCCACAAGGCGTGTGTATTTAAAGTTTGGAGTATAGCTAAATTGTCACTTAGAAAGGCTAACTCCAGTCCAACAGCAGATTCTCCCAGCGTAGTGAGAAAGTGCTGGTGGTCCACGGCCTCGCCAACAGGGGGCATCAACAATCGTTTTAATCTTGCTTTGTTCTTAATTTTACAGAGGTGAATGGCTTGCCTTTTTCTGTTTCTTTCAAACATGTAAACAGGTTATTTAAAACAACAACAATAACAACTCATGGCCTTGGCTGAGGTATTTCTGGGGCTGTGGCTATGATCTATCCCCACCCAGTCCAAGTTAATAGCTTCCATATTTTCTGGTAAGATAAGATATCTCAGGTTTACCTTGAAAATTTCCTACCCCAAACCTGTAATCAGCCAATTCTCCAAGGAGCCAGGATTCCTTTAGTGGGAAATGATATTTAGGGACCACAATTTGGTGCTCAATCCTATTCGGTTGATTTTTCCCCCCTAAGGAAAAAATAATTTTCCAGCTAGAATTCTATATCCAGCCAAGCTATTCTGACGAGTGACATTTTTAGATCTGCAAGAATTCAGAAAACTTACCATCCTTTAACCGTTTATAGGCGACATGTCACACAACTAAAGAATCAACCAAGAAAGAGGAAGATTTGAGATGTAGGAAATAGTGGAGCCAGTCCAGGAGAAAGCTGTCTGGGAAAACAACTATACATCAGTCCAATTGGAGCATGAGGATGGGGGAGCTTCAGGAATTAGGTCTCTGTGGAATGGGGGAATCCAGCAGAGTTGAAAACATGCCTGAGAGGCTGGACGTGGAAGAGCAGAGCTATGGTGAAAGGCGGACCTGAAGATCAAAAGGGACCTTGGCTGGGAAAGCCAGCATGGTGCATCTCAGGGCCATGAAGTAACTCTTTTCGGACAAGAACTGGGCCGGGGGGGACCAGGATCTTGTTTCCACCTTGAGACACAGACTGAATGCGGACGCCCCTTACCATAACCGGCAGCCACAGTGGCCACTGTGAGGCTGTGTGCAGTTTTCGCTTTGTATTTTTTTTTTTTTATAAATTATGTCTTTAATTATATCTGACTAGCCTGAACATATTTATTTAGGTTCTTGCCGTATTGTTCCATAAGCTTAATTTGTATCATGCTTTGGTAAATTTGGTGACTGCCCTTCTTGGCATTAGATCTCTTCATATTTTGGAAACTTACTTTGCAAGCAGGCCCATGGTGAGTAGGAGGGTTTTTCTTTGTTTCTTTGGGTCATGTTTGGGTTTCATTCTCTCTCTCCCCCTGTCCAGAAGTCCAGCAGTTGTTGGTTACCTCCATGGTAACCGAGAAATGTGGTAACAGTGCTCTGAGGTTGCTGCTCCATGAGGACACCAGGCACGCTGCGGCCCAGGGAAGGAGGCCTCCTGGTCAGGAAGCTGAATCTCAGTCCCCTTCGCCCACCTCTCTAGGTCCTCAGCTCCCTGTAATCCACAGTCCTCCGCAGCAGGTGGGCAACCCTCGTTCCCAGCTCTGTTTCACCCTGTGAACCTGCCTCGGGTCCTCTTCTCACCAGAAGGCTTTACAGTGTCCTTTCCTCCCAAGAGCTGAGCCCCCAGCACCTCCTGCTCATTTCCAAACCTAGAGCCCATGAGGTCTTTTCTCTCACCACTCACATTGCTTCTGCTCATTTTTGATCCAAAGAGATGTTCACTTTGCTTTTGGATCCTGGCTCTGTCTTTTTAATTATCTGTTGACAACTTTTACCTTTCATTGCTATGTGATCGAAACAAGGAGTATGTTGGATGCAACCTTGATGTGCTATCTCACCCAGATTGATATCACTTTTATTACTTCCCTTTAACTTTGTTCTCTTTGCCCTCCCTAGTTGTCCACTCTGTATCCATTCTCCCCTTCCTTTGCTCTAAGAAAATCTCTGTACTGCTGGGGGTGCCGATGTGCCCCAATGACATTTCCCAGCCTCCTCTGTAGATAGAAATGGCCAATTGAATGTAAGGAAAAGATAATTATGTGGGGCTTCCAGGAAAGTTCTTTAAAAGGGCCTGATTCAGTTGGGAGGTATATCTTTTTGCCCTTTGATCTTTCTTTTCTTGTACCTGGAATGCAGATGTGATGGGTAGAGGTCAGCTGCCATCTTGAGACAAAGAAGTCACTTCAAGGATGGAAGCCACATGCTGAGAATGGCTGAGCAGAGAAGCAACAAGAACCTGGGTTCCCCAAGAGCATGACCAAGGTGGGCTGGTCACTGGAGACGTAACCAAGGTCCTGCCCCAGGAATTATCCAGTTAGGATGACTAACATCTGCTGCTGTCAGAAGCAATTTCTCGATAGACCCTCTGTATTTGCATTGTTCCCTGAAGATTCAAAGTCCCAGGTAGAAGCATGTGATTGGCTGGGCTTGGGTCAGGGGCACATTTCCCAGCTGCCAGGAGGTTAAGAATACCTGGCCCCTTTGGCATCTATAGGGGGACATAGGCACTGCCTCCCACTAAGACTCACACAGAGGATTCTTCCCTGGAGAGTCAGAAACCGTGGGTAACATCAACTGTACCCCTGTAGTAACTGATACATAGGGAAATATCCAGCTGGAAATCCCTCCCCTTGATGAGGTAAGCTGCGGCTCATTTCTATTCGCTCCCAGTGTAGATGTGGAAGAGAACACAGGGATAGTCTTGGGGCGTGGCCGGCATCCTGCCTTTCCAAGCTTTTCTTAATTCTCCGTTATCCAGGCTCTCTCTCTCCCCAAATCCGGGGGAAGCTCCTGTCTTTGATCCTGGTTTGAGGCTTTCTGAGCTTTAGCTCCACCTCATGTTGGCACTTCTCCCAGCTCCCATCCCAGACCTAGCCCTTTACAACATCCGATGCACATAGGCCCGGCTGTAGTGTTCCTTCAACGACCTCCTTTCCAAATGATCAGCCCACTCTTAGAGGGTCTGGGCCAGGTGCAAGTCAGTTGAGAGCAGTCCTAGGACCAGCCGTGCCTTCCTGAATCACTATGCCGAGATGCTGATTCTCATGTCCTGTCACCCTTTAGGATTTCTTTCCAGGCAGAGTCGGCAACATGCAGGACAGGTGACAAAAATGTGAACTTGCTTAATTTCCACTTGTCATTCATGGAACTGGTGGCTGAGCATTGGAAGGCCTGCAAAAAAACCAATGTTTTTGCTAGCACAATACTCAAAGCATCAGGGAGATGCACCCTCCTTTCCTCTGTCTGCCAAAACTTACACAAGTGCATCTAACTGGAAGGGCCTGATTCGAGTCCAGAACCCTAGCAGCAGGGAAGGCTGGGAAGTGCAGGAGTTACCATTCCAGCAGGCACACTTAGAAGGACATGAGAATGGGTACACATGCCCACTCACCAGCTCCTTCCCCCCTTCCATCAAGAGGGAACCCCACAGGAAGCTACTTGTTGACACCAGGATTTGGGGGGTGTCACTGCCTGGTCCCCATGTTGTCCTGTGTCAGCCAGGCACAGCTCCCAGACGCAGCCACCTGCCAAAGGCCAACAGACACTGTGATTTCCACGCACAGAAGGGGGCAACCAGATGGCTCTGGTCTGTTTTTGTGAATCATCTCAGGAGACTACGCATGTGCGCCATTCCAGTATCTTCTGGAAGTGTCATCAGAGCATCAAGGAACCTTAAATGAAAGGGGTCAGAACACATCTGTCCTTCTCCCATTGGGTGTTATTAACCACTTCACCTAGAGGCCATTCCTAATGCTCTGGATCTCCCCTCCGCCCCCGTAGAATCCCATGCAGATTCTTTATCTTTTTCTTTTTTATTGAGGTGAAATATACGTGGCATAAAACTAACCATTTTCAAGAGTACGGTTGAGTGGTATGTAGTACATTTACAATGTTGTATTATCACCACCCCTGTCAAGTTCCCAAACATTTCCATCGCTCCATTAAGTAGTCACTCCTGATTCTCCCTCCCCCGAGCCCCAGCCACGTCTGAAGCTAGTGAGCCCCATCCTAGACTCTTTAGTTAAGACAATAATTTTCCATTTTTGGCTCCAGCTCATTTGAGCTGGATTCTATACTTGCACCGGATAGAGTCCTAAATGGCAAAGCATCCCTCAGGTTCCAGCGTAAACATCTGTTTGTCAGACAGGTCTTCTGCTCCCCTAATTTAATTTAAATCGCTCTGTTCCACCGTCTTCTGGCAATGCGCAGTTCTCGCCTTCATAGTTCTTAGCACGAATTGCAGTATTACACGTGTTACTGGTTTAATGGCTGTCTCCTCCGTGGGCCAATGCGATCCAACAAGGTAGGGACCAGTTTGTTTTGTTCTCTTCCTCTGACTAGCACAGTGCTATAAAAACAATCTGTGCAATAAACATGCTCAGGGCAGGGGGGAATGGACGGGAACAGGTGACGTCTAGAGCTAAAGACAGCAGGTCTGGAGTGGTCCCCAGCTAGTGACAACTCGCTATTGAGTTGGGGAGCCTCTCTGCCCACCTGAAACTTCCAAAGCCCCATACCTCCTCAGCCCCAAAGAAACAAACCC